CCATAGCGAGCAAGGGATTCCCTAGGCTTCTGGGAAAAGTCTCTCAACCCCTCTCCCTGGAACAGGAACAGTCACTTGTCCGAATTCCGCAGCTCTTCACTTCCCGGCATAAATTTGTCGATCCACAGAAGCAGTGAGCGGACAGGGCGTAGGATTTTAGAGCTGTGTATGGTGCATAGCAGGGCTGACTGCAATAGGCTAACTTGGATCAGGAAGGGAGCTGTATAAGCAACAGCTCTGAACCCGAGCTGCATCTGATTTCATCAATTTCAGACCTACCATAGACTGCCTGGAAGCAGCTTCTGGCTGGCAAGAAGGACAGATGGATCGGGACAGATGAATCAAGCTGTGAAGCCTGGATCCAAATCTGGACCCAAATGTCATTAAAACTAGGAGATGCTTAGGTCACAGATTTCAAATGGGGCCTCCCTGTATTCCTTACCTTCCAAAAAATTCCCCTCTCTGAAGTAAACGGGGGCTGCTTATAACAGGGCAGCAAAACCCAGATTAATATTTGGAAGCAAAGAGGAGACCAGACAGGGTGCAGGCTTTCACTCCCATTTCTGGCCAAGTTGTAGCTGGCAGAGGGCAGAGAGAAAAAGGAGTTGAGTATGGCAAATGGACCCACATTGTGGCCAATGCTTGAGAAAGAGCAGCTGTTGAGGAGGGATGGGCAATGCGTTAGCACGCAGACATGTTCAAGCCACACAATCAATATCAGTAATAATTATGCAAACAGTGGGAAAGCAGCAGAAGCAAAATTCCTGCATCTGTAGTAGAGTCCCAGAGTGTTTGTGCAATTTCTTTTATTTTGGCATCAGCTGTGGTAATTTGAAGATCTACAATGGAACAGAAAAGAAAAGGAAAACAAAACCCAAGCCACCAACCACAAAAGAAATGATCAGAAGAGAGGTTACTGCTACTCTGGTCATAAACTGATGTCTGCTCTGATTTAATTAATCTTGGCAAGTCAGATGGGAGCTGGGCAGGTCCCAAGAGACAGTATTTTACCCGGAAATCCACTCAACTTAATTTCACTAATGTAGGGCAGTGGGGAGACTTGGAGAGAAGCCTGCATGCTCAACCATTAGAGTGCAGCACAGGCAAAGGCAGCTGGAGGTGCCACCATTCAGCCATGCTGTTGCCTGCACACTTGCTGCGGCTCCACAGCATGCAGAGCTGCATATGTTCAAGATGTTTGCTCACCAGCAGAGCTTATGGATATGATTCTCATCATTTCCAGGAAATAGAGTGCTGAGGGACAGAAGCTCCCTAAAGACCCCATTTCATCAAGGATCTGTAGTTTATTTATGTATCATTTCTCTCCCATGGACAAAGCACTTAAAATTCCCTGTCAGGTGCGAGCTCTAGGTATGAGGCAACTGTCAAGACAGAGCCCTTAAGCTGGGAAGCAAGCACACTTCAGTCCCTCCCATCAAACAGCCCTATCCTTGAAGCACTTGCATGGTCACAGCCTAGGGTTTGTCCAAGGCTGTCCAAAAGGTTTTTGTACTTACTGACAGTCACTGACAACGTCTGAACATTTCTGAAGTCCAAAGAGTGGATATGAGCACAGCGAGGCAGTGGGTCATGTTTCAGCAGTGGCAAAAAAAAGCATCGGGGCACCTTTGCTGGTGCAGATCTTGATGAGTGTGGCATGCAGGCTCAGGCCAAACCACCAACATCCTCTGATGTCATGGGCCAATGTAATAAAATATGAACCATTACTTTTGAAGCAGCCCTTAGAGGTTCAGTTAATAGCCTCAAAAATGCCATGTTTATCTTCAGTAATTGGAAAGGGAGAGCAGGGTGAGAAGACCAGCTGATGATGTCTGTGCATGGCTGCCGGGTGATGAATAGGGTCCCTATCCTCTCTATCCTCTCTTACTTCAACATTCCTATTTTGTGATGTCTCCTAGTGCATCTTTCAGCTGCCCTGGTCCAGGCCCATCTTAAAGGATAAGTCAGTGCCACTTGTTTGTTCTCTTCACTGAGGGTGGACACGGGCACTCTGGTCTTTCTGGTTGAGACCTCACAATGCTTGCATGTTCTGAAGGGGCAGCTTTAGACAGGTAGAAATTTTACCACTTGGGATGGCATGCTGTTGTTCCTCAAGCAGGGTGTAGAACATTTCACCTCGATGCCCTGAATTCTCACCTGCTTTTTTTTTTGTCACCTTTTACACCTAGTTCAACAAAGTGCAAAGTGAATGTGAAATGTCAAGGTTGTACAGGTCTGGCTGTGTAACTGTACCTGTCCATTACAAATCAACATGTGCAACAGCCCAGAGTTCAAGGCAGTGGGAAATCAAGCCTGATATCGAGGAAGAGAGGAAGAAAGCTCCTCTCTGATCTATGAGATCCCCCAGGATAAGTCTGTAATAATCTCCCCAGGGATACCTGGCAGACTTTACTGGGACGCTGAAAACTAGGTTGGAGAAAACCCCCGAGAACATACTGCAGAAATAACCTGCATCAAACAAACCGGTGAAGGGTGAGTCAGGCAAAACCGTTTCGTCTCTCCTTGTGAATCATAAACTGCTATTAACTGGCCCTGATGTCAGTAGGGTTGTGCTGCAATGCTCCCATTGCTCGGGGAGAACCCTCTTCTTTTCACTGCTGTGATTTAGCAGTGCCACAGCTTGAACTTCATTTTTTATGCTGAATTGTTTATCCTTTGTGATGTTACCTCTTGCTGAAACTCATTACTGAATAATAACACCAGGTTGCTTCTTTTCCCTTGTCTTAAAGATCAATGGAACTGTGCTAAAGCTGCTAGGAAGTGAGACGTAGGTTAGTGGCAGCAGGGTGCACGTGTGGCTATGGTATTTCCCCTCATTTCAAAACCATGTACAATTAAAAGGAGAGTGGCTAGATGAATTTGGCTTGATAGCTCTTGTTAGAAAGATACAGCTCTTATTTATACTTGGGCCATTAACAAAAGGTGAAAAGTGACTCAAGGTTGTGTTCAGCATATGTTTGTTTTTTTTTTTTTTTCTGATTCCTTTCTGTTCTGCAGAGGACTTGAATATGTAATGAAGTGACTTTAGAGTCTTTCTGCTGCTCCCTGACCTTAGAGTCAGTCTAGGCTATTTCAGCATGGCAGAAGTCAGTGCAATGTCTGCCTACTGCCAACTGCCTCCAGAGAAGTACAGGGTGGACAGCAAGGCTCCTGTGCAGCAAGGAAATTCCTCTGCCAGCCAAGGCCCTATAGGTGCCACAGACAGTCCCCTGGAAATTAGATTTGCCACTGTGGTGAGCCAGCAGGGACAGTATCGTGAGCAATCCCACATCATTCCCCCATTTTGAATGCAACCAGCAAATGCATAGAAGCTTTTGCTGGCTGGCAATGCAGGATCTCACGCCACGGTATTGGGTGATGGGGATGTTCTTGAAGAATTTTTCTTACTGGAAAATCAATGTCTGAAGTTCATTAAGACAGAAAGTGTTTTAAGTTCCAAAAGCAGGGCAGTTGATAAAGTTGATTTAGGTTGGGATGTTACACCTTAAAGGTGATGCACGTGGAAATGGTGCATAGGAAGGCGTAAAAAGAGAGGCTAAGGAGCTGAGGCAGAGAGGGGTGTGAGAGCTGCGGCACCTGCTTCCAGTGCTGGAAGCAAATACAAGTCTGCCATCTGATGGCATCGAATGGACCAGGCAAAAATGCATCATCGGCCTCAGTCAGGAATGGTTCACATCCCATTTAGTATTCTGACTAGTGATAAACATGGATGAGAGGATGCTTACCTTCACAAACTAAACATTGTCACGTGAACATCTGTAATGTTAAGCTGACAAAGTGGGCCATACTGTGGTTTTTTAATATTCCAATTAGCTTTGCTCCAGACAGCTCTCAGACACATCCTTTCTTGTTCTGGAGTGCAAGGATTTAGCCATATGTACCTGAGTTGAGTAGTGCCATGTAGCTTCAGGACAAGAGAGCAAACCCTGGTCTATTTTATTTGCCATTGTAACACAAGATGATAGCCCATCTCAGAAGCCAGGAAGTGGTTTGTTCAACGGTACCCTTGAGCCCACAAGAAATACATAGATGATGTAGAGGTATATCGAGCACCAGTGCTGCAGTATGTGACATATCAGTCCTGTACCCCATCCTGCACCACCAGCCCTTTGGCACTTCTTTTCTCTATTGTTTATAATAAATCTGGAGTGATGATCCTTGCTTGACTTCTCCACAGTGTCAGTGCATATGTTTAGGTGAGTTGAGGAGTAGTAAGCATGGAATGGCGAGAATTGGCAGACCAACCACTCCAGTGCACTAAGACCTTAGCATTATCCTGCAACCCTTTGGTGAACCACTGTCTTGTTCCTCCTGACTGCCTCTGTCTTCCCCTCCCTGATGGTTTGTTTACTGTGGGATTGCAGATCCACCCTCCATTTGCTATCACTGCTTCCCCCCATGCAGCTCTGCCTTTGGAAGGAGAGGCCAGAAAACTGGAGAGAAAGACAACCTCCTGTCCAAAGGCTCCCATTCGTTATTTCTGTTTGGTGTAAGAGGAATCTGAGTTACAGGTTACAATTTTTATTTTCCCTCTTCCAAGCTTCTGAGAAGTTCAGTAGCAGCAATTAGAGCTGAGAAATTCAATGGTGATTGGCACAGCCAGTGGGTGTAATAAAAGTATAATTCATACATTGGATCTAGCTGGTTTCACCCTACAAGCCAAGAGCTTCATCAGTGCGTGTGGTGAAATGAATGTGAGTTGACTGACACATCAGCAGGAGGCTGGGCTTAGGGCTCTAGGCAGCTCCTCCCAGTTGCATCAGGTTTCTGGTAGGGCTGGAGATTTCATGTGAGAGCCATGCACCCATCTGCTAGGCTGAACCTGGGCATCTTCTTCCCATGCTAGAAACCTTGAGACCTGGGTCTCCTTTGGGAGAGAGAAGCCAAAAGCCCAGCAGTTTTCTTGTGCATGACTGCATGCATGTGCAGGATGCTCTAGATTGTGGCTGACTAATGCTGAATCATCTCTTTCCCACTAGATGCTGTAGAAGAAACCAAACCTACTGAAAGTGCCCAGCAGGAAGAGGTGAAAGAAGAAGAGAGCAAGGCGGACCAAGAAAATGCCTGAACATTAAGAAATGACTCCCCGTTGCCCCTCCCTCCCTCCCCCTATCCTCTATCCTTCCTTCCTGCCCCGATCTTGATCTCCCCCATTCCTGCTCACGTCTGTGAGCCTGTCCGTCCCTCTCCCATTCCCACTTAAACCCTTTTTCTCTCTGTGTGGCAAACATTTAAAGAAGAAAAAAAAAAAAAAAAAAAAAAAAAAAAAAAAAAGCAGGAAAAATCCCAGTCAAACAGTGTGGCTTAAACATTTCTTTGTTTCTTGGTGTTGTTATGGCGAGTTTTTTGGTAATGATGATCCAATCATTTTGGGAAAATTCTTGCACTGTATCAGAGTTCTTTGACCTGGCGCGTGCGTGTGTCTGTCTGCCCACCGCGAGCGCTCTCTCTCTCTCTCTCCTCTCTCTCTTCTCCAAGTGTGTGTGTGCAATGTTCCGTTCATCCGAGGAGTCCAGACTTACTGAGTGAGTTAAAACAAAAGCAAAGCAGGAAAAAAAGAATAGTAATCCTTTTCTTCCTTTTTCAATGTGATGGAATGAACGAAAGAAAAACAAACAAACTTAACAAAACAAATGAACAAACAATAGTACTAAATCCCATTTTCTTTTCAGAACTAGAACAACAGCAACAACAAAAAAAAAATGTGCCAATTAGCATAATGCTTGGCTCCAGGCTCCTTTTTCAAACTGAACAATAATTATAATAAATGAGAATAATGATCATTAACATAACCGTGTCGCATTTCTATGCTGCTGTACGTCCTGCTGGCCTCTGTGCAGACTGCTCTTTGGTGGCCTGCTTGCTGCGTGGCCCCACTCTGCTCTTCAGCCACTGCTCTACCATCGGTCAGTGGCCAAGCACTCTCCTCCTTGGCATCACTCAGGGGATTTTCAAGGGAAGCAGGCTTTGATTTTGAGTGAGGCATCAGCTCTGAGTGAGGCATTAGCTTAAGAAAAGTAGCAAAATTGATCTTGGGAAAGAACAAAAGAAGTGCGCTTCCAGGAGTCCTCTAAGTCCTGTTTTAGGGGAGCACAGTGACCTCAGAGGAGTGATCCCAGGCAGCCCCATGGGTGCCATCTGAAGGACCTGCTTTGGTCCATGCTGAAACTCTGAGCCCTGCCAAGAAATGCATTGAGAGCCAGGAAGGGCCAGGTCCCCACTGGAGTTTGCCTCACTGGGATGGAAATTAAGAAGTTGTTGACTGATGTGACATTGTTCTCCAAAGATGGTCTGTTTGGCAAAATGTACTGGGGCAGTGCAGTAAGTGCATAGGCATGTGGTCATGGCAAGGTCTGGTGGTGTCAGAACCAGCCAAAAGCACTTGGAGAAATTTTTGTCCCTTGCTGCCTGGTAAAACCTAGGTTTAGTCACCCAGCCTAGGCTTCAGCTGTCATTTATGACCACCTCCTGCAGCCTGCTCTAAGCATAGCTGTAGCTGGGCTCTTCATCCGAGCACCACTGTGTATACCTCCTGGCCACTGCCCACAGCATGCAGGATTGCCCCCAGCTTTCCACCAGACCTGGCCTTCCATCGTGAAGGACGGGCAGCCCAGAGGCCAAATGGCTGCTGGGACTGCCGAACAGTGCTGTTGGCAGGACCAGGATTAAATTGGCCTAAAAGCAGTAGCACCAAAAGATGAGTCTGCTGACAGCCCCAAAGTCTTGCTAATTCCCACTTCCTTTGTTCTCCTCCATCTCTTTGTTGGAAATAGGGAGAAAAGATGAACTGTGTCTCCTCAGAGTGAATCCCTTTGAACTGGATGTGCCATCAAAATGTGTAGGGATTCATTTCCATGCGCTTCCTGACCTTGTGTAGAAATATGAGAGAGAGAGAGTGGGAGGATTGAAAAAAGAGAGGGAAAGAGAGAGTGGGAGAGAGATTGGACAGAGATTTTTTAAAACAGGGATTAGAGAGAGGAAGGGAAAAAAAGACTTTAGAGTGGATAGATGGATGATAGGGAGAGAGAGGGGAGTATAGCTAGAGTAAGAAAGGTTAGAGTGAAAAAGGTGAGAGAGAGACAGGAAGAAATTAGGTAACATGGAGCAATAGGTGATTGATAGCGATAGTGAAACGTAGCTAGCTGAAGTAGATTAGACAGACTCAATAGGTAGAAAGATGGGCTGACTGACAGATAGGTATTGTGTCATACTTCATAAACGATATATATGCTAATATTCCCATGTCATGATGGGTACTAAACCCTGAGACACCTTCCAGCCTGACCTCAACTCAGCAAATGTAGCGCGGACATCAGGCACTGCTTGGACCGTATGCCAGGTCTCACAAGCCTGCGGATGGGGTATGGGAGGGAGAGCGCTCTGATGGGCACGGGGCGCACCAGGAGAGAGGCAGAGTATGTTTGCTGTTCATGGCACGCTGGGTGCCCGGCCAGGACGCTGCGGACGCTCTGTGACTCTAGCGCTGCACGGAGAGGAGCGAGGTTCAGCTCTCAGGAGTGTGGGAGAAGTGTTCAGGAGGAGGCAGGAAGGAGAAAGCATGGCTTTTATTTGACCTCATCTCCTGTCATGGCCATTTAAAAGGGTTTACTTTCGAGTTGCGTGTCTGCAAGGACCGCTTGGTATCCCTGCTCTTCTGACTTCAAACCCCAAACTTTCCCTCTTAACTCCATTTTATTATTACAATTTTTCACTTTATCAGGAAAAGAAAACAACCTCTTATGTCTTCCTGGACATACACCTTCCTCCCTCCTTGATAAACAGAAACATTTGCTCTCCCTTGGGGATGTTTTATCTTTGCATTTTGCATGTTGCTTCCCCCTTGGCTGATGGCTGGGGCATCGCGTGTGTTTTGCCACCGTTTATAAGAACATACTTTGCCATGTTGCTTAGAGAACAAAGGGTTGGGTTTTGTGTTTTCTTTTCCCCCCCACGAAGAGAACGGGGTATGTGGTTACCAACTGCAAACCTAAAAAAATTTGAATACTAATTCCTCTCCCTTGGTTCCAGTTTAAAATTTACTTGCTGTAACCAAGCACCCCCCTATCTTTCTTATTGTACCGTGTCCTGATCCTGCCAGAGAGTCAGGGCAAAGGGAGCGTGAGAGAGAGCACACAGACAAACCCTGCCTTGAGCACGAGGTGGTTTCATGTGTAGTACACAAGATTTGTATAGGAAGTTGGGCTGTCTGCAGGGTACAGGAAGAGAGCAGAGAAAAGCATTTGGATTTCCTTGTGTTGCCTCTTCAGTCAGACTTTAAAGGCTGAAAGGAAGCAGTTCAAAGGATGTAGCACAGGACGGAAACTGGAAGGAAAACAGGGGTTTTGGGGGAATGAATTTTCTAGCAGGGTATCATGTGAGCTGAGAGCAGCACAAAAGACAGGAGGTCACAGAAGTGAAGAGGGGAGTGAGGAGTATCCAGCAGAGTGGCTGGAGCTTTTCTACTGCTCCTAATGCAACAACAGACGTGTATCTCTTTCTCTTTCCCTGAAGAGTATATATCCTGCCTGAAGGTGTCTGTGGTTGTTGCTTTGTGTCTGGAGAGGGAAGGGGATGACAAGGTGACTCCTGCAGGGAGAATGGTGCCTGGCCTCATGCGCAGAGCTGAGTCCAGGAGGGACTTTTTGGTGCCTCTGCAGTGCGTTGTGCTAGTGATCCACATCTGTGCTGAATGCTCCTAACAGCTGTAGGCCGGCTCTTGACATTTCACCTCATCTAGATTAAGCCTTGGAAAACCATAAAAAATCCAAAGTTAACAGCCCCCCCATCAGTGCAATGAATCATTTGCTTGAATTTGGTCTGCTTTGCAATGCTTACGGCATCCATGGACTTGATGCATTGACAGCATATAAAAAACCACAACACCTGGAAGCATTGCATCAGCCAAGAAGATCCTCTGTGAGCCACTCTCCAAAGGGAGGGAAGTGTATCCTGCTGGGACACCTCCAGACCCTGTGTTTTCCAGCACCAAACCCTAACACAGCCCCGTGAGCGGCCTTAGCTGGAAGGAACTCATGTAAGGTGACTACATAAGCACTGTCTCTAGGGGAGCATGTTGCTGTAGATGAAAGAATTGACTACAATTTAAGAAGAAAGGAAGGAAGAAAAGCATAAAATGAGGTAGTTCATTTTTTTTCGGTGCTCTCCAAATGGCACATTGTAGCACATGAGGCTTTTTGTACCAAAGGTCTGGTGTTTGTCATAGGTGTCTTTGGAGGGAAGCAGTGAGGCTGTGGTTTGCAGAGGTGGAGGGGAGGCTCTTTTGGGCCCTCTTGGCCAAGAGTCTGTTCGGTGACCACTTGAGCTCAATGACTGGGGTGGCGGTGGCGGAGTCTTATTCCAGGCCTGTGCTAGATTCCCCACTTTTCCGCATTGCCACATTAGCACTTTCACTGGATATTTAGAGCACCTCAGGACTGGTTCTCCTCTCGCTCACACTGGGGTAACTCAGGAGTCACTCCACTGGAAGCAGTGGTGTTAATCTGGTGTGAAAATAATGCAAGAGGAGGATTCAACTCCTCGGGGGGAGTTTTCCAGGTCCCCGAGGGGGAAAAAAATCAATGGGAGTTACATGTCTAACTGCCACTTGTGCCTGTGAAAGTCTGCCCCTTACCTACCCATATGTATATAGGGTATCATTTTCAGAATAACCCAAGTGACATGGGTGCTTGAGAGTATACATTTCACTGGCTTTCAAATTAATTTAAGGCTCCTAAGGCCCAGATCCTGAAGGATGTCCAAGCTTCTATCTGAAGCCCATGTCAGGGCTAAAATTCTCAAGTCATTTTGGAAAAAGGAGCTATAAATCCCAAGTCATTTAGGTGGCCCTGAAAACACTACCCTCTATCCATTGTTCAGGGTGTTGATCTCAGGTCATATGCGAGCCTGCATTCTTACCTACAATGCTTTATTACCACATTCCTCTGTTGAGCAATACTCGGAAGAAAAGGTGAAGGCTGAGATTTGCAGAACCGGATAGTGACCAAGTGGTTCACATCTGGAGCGCCCAACTTGGAGACTCCTTACTGGGGCACAAACTTTGAGGTCCTCAACGTACTGTGAGCATCAAGATTGATGTAGTACACACCCAGAACCACCGGTCACTTCCAAAAATCCCAGCCCGAGATCCTGACTGCTCTCATAAGAGAAAATCCTAGGATAGCCGTTCATCCAATAGCTTGGTTTTTCTGCTCATGCCTGTTCCCAATGAACAAAACACATCCCTATGCATCACCTAAGCCCTATTTTGAGGAGTTACACTGGCAT